ACTCGGCCGGCCCCACCACACTGTATTTCTGAAGCTGATGTTGAATAATAATGTATATCAACTATAATTATATATACATATAGTCACGGGACATGGAGTAGAGAGTGGGAATGGAGTCAGTGGAATTGTAATAGATTAGCATGATATCGGGTGGTGGGAGGGCAGTAGATGGGAAGGGGGGTTGTTTCTGTGCGAAGAGTGAAAAGGATAACTATTGCATTGTTCTGTATACCTGAAATTAACAATAAAACAAAAAACAATAAAAAAAATTAGAAGGAATATTACAAACTGCGAGTTAGAGATTAGGGAACTGAGAAAACGAAAAGAACTTATTCTGGGTAATTTGGCTTAATCAGCCATAGATACTAGGTCTTCACACTTGAAATCCAGGGCTATTTTCAAAACACTAGGGACCACGTTTTATTTGTTTGTTTGTTTTTTTAAGCTGAGCCATCCTGCCACCTATTGGCAGCTCAGCAGCTGCTCAGCTCAGGCTGGGAATTGAACCGCTGTTGCTCAGAGCTCAAACTCTTGAGCGAGCTCTTAACCAACTGAGCCACTCGGCCGGCCCAAGGGACCACGTTTTATTCTTGTTCGTGTCCCCCACTGCATACCATAAAGCCACACACATTGTGAGTATTCAGTAGCTAAATGAAAAAATATGACCAGGAAAATCAAGCAATTTCTGTGAAAGTCATAGATGCAGGGTCACAGAGTTTCTTATCTCCTTCAACTAGAATTTCTGGATCACTGAAGTTTAAGATGCTTGGAATTTGTAAGAAAATCGAGCCTAATCTCTGTGGACTGCTTTTTTCTATAATTGTTCCAAAGAACAAAACTATTAATATCTTTTTAAAACTAAACCTCAGGGCTGGCTCAGTGGTGCGTTGGTTAAAAGCTGGCTTGGGATGCCAGTTCTGAGCAGCAGGGCCCCGGTTCGGATCCCACACAGAGGCCAGTGACACTGCCCTCTACAGATAAGATAGTGAACAACAGCTCGACCTGGAGCTGGGCTGCCATGAGTCGCCAGTGACGGCATAGGCTGCAGCCCCTACTGCAGTGGGCTGCCATGAGCTACCATGTGTGGCTGGCAGCCAGTGTGAGCGGCTGGCAGCCGGTGTGAGCTGCCAAGAGCTGCCGTGAGCAGCCTTCCATGGGCCAGTGACCAATCTGCCTCACCCGGGAAGAGTGCAATGATAATACCAACATGGGCCAGTAAAGCAGCATCCTCCACAACTAGACTGAAGAACAAAAGGACAGCAACTTGTCTGTTCCCCTTCCTCGATTCCCCAATGCTGTTCCCCTCCTCCAATTCCCCAATAAAATCTTTTAAAAAATAAATAAATAAACTTCAGTCTAGTATCAGAATGAAGATAGGAGCAAGGCTAGCTCGTGATGAATGTTAGACTTTCCAGATTACATTAAAACTACACTGCTGATAGTCCCCACTGCGTCATCTTTAGATAATTTATTGCTTGTACACTATCTGTATTTTCCTCATTATTTTGCAATTGCTCCAAAAGTAAGCTAGTTTTTGCCAAAACAGGACAGAGATTACTAGGATATAATTTGTTTTGACAACTAATCACTAATTTATTATGGAGCAAGAAAGTTCTGAAGAGAACAAGAAACACCAACACATAACTTTTGAAGATATAAAGACTAACATTATTTTGCATCTATGTTATGAAATTTAATTTTGCAATGTGATTGAGATAAAGGAATAATATGTGTTGACTTTTGAAGAGATTAAAAAAAAATTCTAGGGATTCTTTATTTGAAATACCCTAACCTTTGACTACTGCCACTTTAAAAAACCAGGCAGTCCTTACACACACCTCACTGCCTTCCCAAAATCCCTCATCTTGACACTGCTACGGTACAAAATAGCAGAAAAAGTTGACCTCATTGGAGCCTTTAATTCTTCAACTCTCAATTGTCTTACAGTTCCCCATCATAGTTCCTACTCCACCCTTTTCTGTAGAATTCAGTTTGAGAGGACCACAAAAGCCCTAACCCACAAATCCAATGACCTTCGCATTGAACTTGGACCCTTCTGCTTCTGTTTTTGAATCTCTTTCCTTCCTGAAAACATTTCCTTCTTTGGTTTTTCTAACACTCTTCTGGTTTTTCCTCCTCTCTGACTCCTTGCTAGTTCTGTATCTTCTTGCCTTCTCTAATCAGGCACCTTCACTGTTCTGGACCTTTGTTATTCTTACACTCGAGTCTCTTCCTGTCTTACAACTTCATGATATTTTCTACATGGAAGACTCCCAAATCTAGTCTAACCCACCCTCCTTGACTGCTGTGTCTCCTGGGCATTTCAACTGCATGCTGTCACCTCAAACCCAACATGTTCTAAAACAAACTTACCTCCTCCTAAAATTGTAGCTCCCTCCTGGTTTCTATATTTCTGTACACAAAACGTCCCCAGCTACTCAGACTGCAACCTCATAAATACATCTTACCTTTCTCTCACCCTTGCTTCATATATTAGGCCATATGTGACCTAGGGCAAGCCATTTTACCTTTTGACCCATGGTTCCCTCATCTGAAGGGAGAGAGAAAAATCACACCCGGCAGACCTGAAAGGATTATGTGTGTATAAATGTCTAGCTAATTAAGTCAATAAATGCCTTTTTTTCTCTCTCCAGCAACTACTCATGGCCTCCAACCAGATAAAAAAATTATTTGAGGGCATATGTCTTATTACTTTGTATAACCCTATAATGACTTGCACAGTGGCTTATACACAGAAGTAGCCTAATAAACACTCATTGAGCCCGTGGATAGAAATAAGTCAAGAGGTACCAAGAAAGGATCACAAAATATTAACTACAATAAAAATCAGGAGAGATGTAATCTAAGTCTCAATCAATCTAGATGGTATCTGGCAACAAAGAGGCTCTGACAAATACCCACTGACAAAATAAAACAGATAGTCCTAAGCATTGAGCACATCTCTCTGTGTTATAGGAGGTAAAGAGAATCATGAGGAGCTGGGCCTGTTCACCAGGAGCTCCCCTAGTTTCCCTGTGGTCCATCTATGAGGGGGGTTAAGAATGCTCATTCCTTGCAAAAAGCAAACAGTGTTCTTTACTATAGATTTGCAGCAAAAAATACTCACATGTCAAAAGCACTGAACTCCAACGTTAAGCGAGCTGGCAGCCCAGCAGAATCACCTGCACAGAAGCAGTATCACATTTTCGATCATAAGTCAGTAATAGCAGTATTTGTAATGAAAACATCTGCAAATAATTCTGTTCTCTTTGTTGAGTCCAAAGTGCCCTATCCAATTCCTGGTTATCCAAACTAAATAGGAACTTAGCAGTAAATGACAGAGCCTTTGTGAATTTGAGAAATTTGCCATATATATATATTTCCAATCTCTGCCCCCCATCAATGCTAAGTAATCAGTATTAATTCTTTGGATTAATAACTTGGGTTTTACGTCTCCCTTCTTTTTCCCACAATAGGGGGAAAGAAGTGAAAAATGAACATGGGTCAAAAGTTAGGAAGTAAAAGAGAAACTAGTGAAGACCATTAATTATAGAAGAGAGGGGTGTCCGTTGTTAAAGGAAATCTGGCCCTATACTGGAAGGCACAGAAGATAATAGGAGATGATAGAAGATGGGGTTTAATTTGCCTACCATTGTAGTAATAACCCTTAATGTCCTTGGGAGCTTCATCCAGCCGATACTCATTCAGCTTCTTCTGGGTCAGCTCGTGCCAGAACCCAGCATCCAGGGCACTATTAAAGGGGGCAAACTGCAGTTTGGAGAGTCCAGGATCCCCTGTAGCTGCCGCCATTATCTGTTGCCTACTAAAACACAAAATAGAACACAATGAAATAGCACAAAACATGGTGAAAAAGAACATTTGTAATAATGTTTAATTAAAACAACAGAAAGGATGACGTAAAATTGTCTCTATTTGCAGATACCATTACTTTATATATAGAAAATCCTAAAGACTCAACCAAAAATCTGTTGGATCTAATCAATGAAATCAGCCAAGTTGCATAATAGAAAATTAACATGCAAAAATCAGTAGTGTTTCTATCTACTAACAATGAATTTTCTGAAAAAGAAATGAAATCAATCCCATTTACATTAACATCAAAAACAATAAAATAGGATGAATTTAACTAAGGAGGTGAAAGCTGTCTACTCTGAAAGCTATAAGACATTGATGAAAGAAATCAAAAGTGACACAAACAAGTGGAAAGGTAGTCCATTTTTGTGGATTGGAAGAATTAATACTGTTAAATCACCAATACTACCAAAAGCCATCTATAAATCCCTATAAAGATTTCAATGGCATTTTTTACAAAGGTAGAAAAAACACTCTGAAAATTTATACGGAACCACAAAAGACCCCAAATAGTGAAAGAAATCCTAAGAAAGAAGAACAAAGCAGAAGGCATCACACTTCCTGATTTCAAGCTACACTATAAAGCCAAAGTCATCAAAACAGTATGCTACTGGCATAAAAGCAGACAAATAGACCAATAGAACAGAATCGAGAGCCCAGAAATAAATCCCAGCATATACAGTCAATTAATATTGGACAAGGGAGCCAAGAATACTCAATGGAGAAAAGGCAGTCTTTTCAATAACTGTTGCTGGCATAATTGGATATTTACATGTAAAAGAATGAAAGTGGACCCATATTTTAAACTACTCATAAAAATTAACTCAAAATGGATGAAAGGCTTAAGTATAAGACCTGAAGCCATGAAACTCTTAGAAGAAAACATAAGAATAAAGCTCCTTGACATGGGTCTTGGTAATGATACTTTGCATATGACACCTAAAGCACAAGCAACAAAATAAAAAATAAACAAGTGGGACTGTATCAAACTTCTACACAGCAAAAGAAACTATCAACAAAGTGAATAGACAACCTACAGAATGGGAAAGAGTATTTGCAAACCATATATCTGATAAGGGGTTAATATCCAAAATATATGAAGAACTCATACAACTCAAGAGCAAAAAAGCAAATGAGCAAAGGTCCTGAAAAGACTTTTCTCCAAAGAAGATATATGAAAGGCCAAAGGTACATGAAAAGATGTTCAACATCACTGGTCATTAGAGAGATGCAAATTAAAAATGCAGTGAGATATCACCTCACACCTGTTGGGACAGCTATCATCAAGTGGACAAGAGATAACAAATGCTGGCGAGGATGTGGAGAAAACGGAATCCTTGTGCATCATTAGTGAGATTACAAATTGGTACAGCTACTATGGAAAACAGTATAGAGGATCCTCAAAAAATTAAAAATAGAACTACTGTATAATGCAGCAATTCTACTTCTGGAATATATCCAAAGGAAAGGAAAACATTAACTCGAAAAGATATCTGCACCCCCATGTTCACTGCAGCATTATTTTCAATAGCCAAGACATAAAAACAACCTAAGTGTTCACTGTTAGATGAATGGATGAAGAATCTGTGGTGTATATATACAATGGTATATTCTTCAGCCATTAAAAAACGAGAAAATTCTACCAGTTACAACAACATGGATGGACCTTCGAAGCATTATGCTAAGTGAAATAAATCAGAGAAAGACAAATACTGTATGATCTCACTTGTATGTGGAATCTAAAGAACAAAAAAAAACAAACTCAAGGATAAAGAGATCAGACTTCTTACCAGAGGTAAAGTGAAGGGTGGAGGGAGAGGGACTTGGAGGAAGGTGACCAAAAGGTGCCAACTCCATTTATAAGGTAAGTACTAGGGATGTGATATACAACATGACAACTATAACTAGCACTGCTATATGACATATAGCTGTTAAGAGAGTTAAATACTAAGAGTTCTCATCACAAGGAAAAATATTTTGTCGCTTTTCTTCTTCCTTTTCTTTTTAGTGTATCTATATGTAAAGATGAAAGTTAGCAGGGCCTAGTATGGTGGTCATTTCAACATGCTGTTTGCCTTAAACTTACATAGTAATGTATGTCAATTATTTCTCAATAAAACTGGAAAAAAAGAATCCAACCAAACAAACAAAAAGTATGAGAGATATCTGGGCTACCTGACGACAGAACTTTGGAAATCAGCCTGAGTGATTTGCCTGTGTTGTCAAGTTTAGCCTCCTCATGACACAGCTGACTTTTCTAAGTCATCCTTCCTGGCCTTCACTTTTGCGCATCTTCCTTTCTTGTTGAAGTCAGTCTGACTGATGCACTAGTGTTATTCTTTCTTTCACACTGTCATAGTCTCAGCAGCTTTTGCCATCCTGTGTGGTCCTAGAGAAGTTTGTAAGTACAAAACCCAGCCAGTTAGAAACACCACAATGCAGGGTTCTGAATGAGAGCAGTGTTTGGGCTTCCCAGCTGAGGAGAAAAAAACATTTCTTACTCCTTAAACATAGTACCTGCATTTCTCTGAAATCTCATCTTTATCTTTTAAATGCATGGAAATTTTGCACTTTTCTGTACTATCTTTAAATAGTTCATTTTCTCCCTCAAATCATCAAATAAATGTGGCCCTCCTGGCAATCAAACAGGTTATGCTGTAACTCCCTAGGTTCCCCACACACTCTCAGGGGTACCCATATCCCAGTCTGAGAAGCACAGCACTAGAGGAGCTTGGCCATGGCAAAAAGCGCAAGTTGATGAGGTCCCTTCACTTTCCATCCTGTCCAACTAACTGCCCTGTGACCAGACAGATTAATGTTTCTGCAGTGGAATGTATGAATAGTCATGCTAAATGGGATAAATGTTCTAAAAAGACAGCTCACTTCCACTCAGAGAGGTTTGAGGTTTTGCCTGAGTTTTGTGCCAAGGTTATTAAATAGCTTTCAGTTTTCCAAACTTGTTGGATTTTAGAATTAGGGATGAGAAGCTTTGGACTGATAGTAATGCTATGAAAAAATAAAAAGTTAGTATCCCATAAAAAGGGCTAAATCAAAAAGGAGGCGAGGCGTGTGGGGCAGAGCAGGAAGAACGCCTCAACTGAGCACTGTTATGTTGAACAAGGTGGGCGTGGAGGGGGAAGATGGGCAGAGGGTGGAAGGAACAAGAAGAGTGAGGGAACCATATGGCAGAAACGGGGCAGCATGAGCCTCGCTGTCCTTGGAGGGCTGGTACTGTGCAAGAGCAACACACACAAAGCTGAGCAGGTTACACAGTGAAAACAGATAGAGAAGGTTCAAAAGGGAGGCTGAAGAATTCTGGAATGGGATGCCAGTTTGCAACAGGAAATATGATAGCATTCTGCAGTGGCAAAATGGCTTTGAAGGAGGCAGATAGGGAAAAGCAGTTAGCAAGCCTAAGAATTTATGAAGATCTGGATTAGAGCTGAGGAGGTCAGACTGAAAACATAGAGACCCTCAACAGGGACAGTTTAAGAGGAAAGGTGGTCCCACTTGGTATTTTGGTGGATTCAAGGAATGAAAGAGAAGAAAAGGCACCCAGGATGTCCAGCCCTGACTGGCTAGGAGAAAGGCAGCTCCAACAACAGAAAAGACATCTGAGAGGAAGAGCCAGAGGCAGAAGAGTAATGATACATTGAAGGCACTTTCGGCAAGAACAATAGCAGGGTAAAGCGAAGCTGGTCCAGGGAAATGGGCTGGAGAAGGTGGACTCGGAGAGATTTCAGAGGCATTTACTCTGAGATAACACCTAAAGAAGGTGAGAATGCTTATTTCTTCAAGTTACTCAGAGAAAGAAAAGCCACAGCCCAAAAGAGTCCTAAAGAATGCGCACTATTAGCGGGTAAAAAGAAACATAATCAGCAGCACAAAGGACACGCAAAAGATAGTGAAAGCACTAGCTGGTACACCAGGATGGTATGTCTATCCACTGACCCAAAGCAATAAAAACGTTTGAAGAGGATGATGACAAATGGTGGCAAAGAACACTAACAGTAAGAAAAAAAAGAGGCCTGGTAAACGGCATTGGATTTTAATTTTTAAAAGAAGCTTGGTGGTGGCTTCCTGAAGTGCAATTTGAGGGTAGACTGTTAAAAACAGAACAAGCTGTAAGGGCAGGATCAGCATGGGGAAGCAACCAGCTGTGTCCCTGGCTGGTTCCTACTGGATTGTTTGCTATTGGATTCCTAACGGTGCTTGTTTTTTGACAGGCTTAATATGTTTGCCACATTTAAAAATTGCTTTGACAACAGAAATCTATTGAAGAATCAATGAAAATTCCACAATTGGAGGTGGGGGTGGGGTGGGGGGAGCTTAACAAACTCAGAAAACAAACAAAACGAGAAGTGGGAACTATAATAATTAAATATTTTTCTATATAACCGATAAGTTCAGTTGATCACAAAGGACAATGCATGGCTCTCTGCTGCCTTAGTCTGGATTTGCAGCAGCAGGCACCAGACAATGCCTGACAAGGGTTTTCAAACTTTTATCACCTTGAAGACTTATTAAAAAATGAGAGGGCTGGCCAAGTGGCGCGTTGGTTAAGAGTTGGCTTGGGAGTGCGAGCTCTGAGCAGCAGGGCCCCGGTTCAGATCCCACATGGGGGCCAGTGACGCTGCGCCCTCTACAGCTAAGATGGTGAACAACAGCTTGACCTGGAGCTGGGCTGCCATGAGTCATCAGCGATGGCATAGGCTGCAGTGGGGCACGTAAGCTACCATGAGTGGCCAGCAGCCGGTGTGAGCTGCCGTGAGCCGCCATGAGCAGCTGTCCATGGCTGGCGACCGATCCATGTCGCCCGGGAAGAGCGCAATGATGGTGCCAACTTGGGCCAGTGAAGCAACGTCCTCCACAACTAGACTGAAGAACAAAAGGACAGCAACTAGTCTGCACCCCTTCCCTGATTCCCCAACGCTGTTCCCTCCCCCTTAAAAAAAAATGATGATGACTGAGCTCCATCTGCTAGAGGTGAGAAAGGGAGGGTGAGGGTGGCCAGGAGTCTGAGAATTTGACTAGTGCCCCAGGTGACTCTGATTCAAGTTGGATGCTACCTTGATGCCTTTAGGCCACTGTCACTCTTACTTTTGGAGACCCCACCTCTAAATCATATCAAACATATTTAAATGCACCCTCATCCCATATTAAATATTTTCTGGCTTTTAACTGTTTGAAATGATTTTTATAATTGTGCACGCTTAGAATGTTCATCTTTTTTCAGGTCACTCCTATTTTCATAGGCCCCTGAATAATCGTCGCTCCTATGCACTGTGGCTGCAGTGACCAATGGAGAGACAGACCTGCAGGCAGGTGACCTGGGGCCCACACTTTAAGAAACGCCAGACCAGAACACCCTAACCGCCTCCTGCTTGGTTTTTGGGCCTCCAATCGTCCCCTTCTCCTCTCTCCTCCACAACGCAGCTAGCATTTTCTTTCTACTGTTGGCTTTTGAGTTTTCATGCTCAGTCCTCTCCTTAGTCTAAAAGCTTTCCCTAAAGCAAAATTATTCATTTTCTATATCAATTTCCATCTATATGTTAATGAATCCCAGGACTGTATTTCTAGCGCTAACCTTCAAACATATATTTAAATGTCTTTGAAAGTCAGGACTTGGATTTCTCACAGACATCTTGAATTCGACAAATCCAAAACTGAACACACCTTTTCCCAAAATTCTGCCCCTTTTCCTGTATGTCCTAATTTACTTAGCAATGCCATACATTCAAGGTAGAAACCTCAGAGTCATCTTCAATTTTTCTGCCTCTCACATCCAATAAATCACTAATTGCTAGAGGTTCAACCTTAAATAGTCCTCTGGAATGAGATGAAGATAAGTTACTGAGTACTGACCAGGACAAGGCACCTGTTACTTCTCCCAACTACCTTAAGAAGTTCCAGTTCCAGTTTCACAGAGGTTCAGAGAGGTAAGGAGTTTACAGAAGGTTGTATAGTTAGTTAAATTGGGGAATCAGGATTTGAATCCAATGCCGATACTCTTTATGCAACTTCATGCTTCCTGTCCAGGCTGGCTTTCCTTCTCTTCACTTCCACGGCCACACGTCAGCACCCCCACCTCTACACCTGACCATGTAGCGCTTCCGCTCCTGCAGTGCTATGTTCACACGTGACTGACTTCAGTCTCTATCTTCTCCAAACAAGATGTGACACACTGCCACCAGATCTGATCTGCACAGGTTGACTCCCTTGTTTAAATAAACAAACAGCCCTTATTGGCCTTAAGACTCAAGAGTCAGGTGTCATCGCTGCCTTAGCCTGCTAGTTTCTCAAACTTAGGCCTTTGCTGATGACCCTGGAAAGCTCTCCCACTATCTACCAGGAAAAATCCTTCTCATCTCTTAAGATCCTTTACGGAGCTCTCATTAACACACCCAGTCAGTGGGTATCAATGATTTCCTTCTTCATGATGACAAATGAAAACTTCCATTAGAGCATTTACCACCACGAATCATACTTTCTTTTTAGATCATACCCTTTAAAAACTTTTAAAATACAGTCACCCTCCCCTCCCCTCGCTTATCCATGGGGGATATGTTCCAATACCCCCAGTATAGGACAGAGGGATGATTCACGTCCCCAGTGGGGCAGGAAGGCACGAGATTTCATCACACTACTCAGAATGGTGTGCAATTTAAAACTCATAAATTGTTTATATCTGGGATTTTCCATTTAATATTTTCAGACAAAGTTGACTGCAGGTAGCCAAAACTGCGGAAAGTGAAACCGCGGACAAGAGAGGAGGACCACTGTGGCAGCAGCAGTGGTAGGAAGTGTGCTAACCGAATGCTTATTCTGTGTGAAGCAATACACTAAATATTTTACATATTATCTATGACAATCCCAAAGTTGCTTTATTATACCTACTTTACAGAAAAGAAAACAGAGGCGCTGAGAAGTTAAGTAACTTGCCCAAAGTCACACAGTTTGGAAGTGAAAGAGCTGAGTCTATAACCCAGGTCTGCTGGCTTCAAAGCCCTGACTTTCGTCACTCGACTATAATGCCTTGAAAGAAGAAGCACCCCCACCCTTTCTCAGAACCTTTATATTGCCCTTCAGCCCCACACATGCTAAAGAATAACCAATTGTTTTGAAAAACACTTACATACTAGCCTCTTCTACAATCAAGTCAAAAGAAAAAGACAGGGGGGCAGAGCAGTCATCCATAATGGAAGGAAATCAGCACAGCAGCAGACAGTGGTACAAATGGATCTCATTTGAAATCCTCCATGTGATGGGTCATCAGGCCTCGACACACTTTAGTCATCCACAACTCACTCTTTTTTTTTTAAAGATTTTATTGGAGAATTGGGGGAAGGAGAACAGACAAGTTGCTGCCCTTTTTTTTGTTGTTCTTCA